TAGCCAATTCTTTTATAGGTCATAATGCTCATCACGTGAATTAAGCAGTACTATGTGCCAAGTGTTGAGCTAAGTATTTCAGAAGGACTCATTACTCAATTCTCACTAACTAGTAGCAGATCCAGAATTTGAATCCAGTAATCTGATGCCAGAGCTCTTAACCTATTATGAATGAAACATGTGATTAATTTCCTTTGTTCAGAATAATCAACACCAAAGCTCACACCTGTAATCCCAGTTATGTGGGATGTAGAGGTGGGAAAGTAAAAGTTCTAGGAAGCCTGGACAAAAAAAAGTTAGACACTATCTCAAAAACAAGTAGGACATGGTAGTACACCATGTAATCCCAACTATGTGAGAGGCAGAAGTAAGAAGATTATAGTCTGAGGCCAGTCCAGGCAAAAGCACAAGACTTTAACTGGACAACATAAATGACTGGTGTGTGCCTCAAGCAGTGAAACATGAGCTCAAACCCTAGTAGCACCAAAAAGTAGTAATAACCACCATCATTTCTTAATCTCCCACTAATTTTTTATAACATGAAATACCAGTTTGTATTTTAATAAATAATTAAGTCATTTTCTGCATGAAAAGCTCATAGCCACCTATTTTATAAAATATGTAAAAGCATATTGCGAGTAAAGTTATGGCTCAAGTGGTAGAACACCAATCTTGAGTAGAAAAAGCTAAGGGATAGTGCCCAGGCCCTGAGTTCAAGCCCCAGTACCAGCACACACACAATAATTAAACCTGAACCTGAATCAGAATCGAAACTGTTACCAAATAGTCGTTATTTAAGTCTGTTGTACAGACTATACACTTTGTATAGTAATAGCAGCTACTTCAAGAATAGCTAATTGTAACAGCTAAAGAATCATAATGTACAAAGGTTTTCTGCAGTCCAAATATTTATTTGATCAGTAATTATGTTTTCTCTAAGAGTGAAGAAGGCAGTTACACATATTAAACAACAAAACAAGGATGACCAATGCTGTAGCGAGCAGTTAACCTACCATTATCTCTAACCAATGCTCTTGCTTCCTTCTGCAAAGTAAAGGATTCCTCCAGTAGCCCCACCATTTGTCATTACTTAAAATCACTTAATAAGTTTTTCACTGAGATTAATATGTTTAATGGTTCTTTTTAGTCACACACACACACATATATCCTTTAAGCCTTTCATTATGCAATTCAAATCATTAGGCAATTTAGTTTGGCCTCAGAAATACTACAAAATTAGATTTGAGGGCTAAGAATGTGGCTTAGTGGTAGAGTGCTTGCCCAGTATGCATGAAGCCCTGGGTTCAATTCCTCAGTACCACATATACAGAAAAAGCCAGAAGTGGCGATGTGGCTCAAGTAGTAGAGAGTAAAAGAGGCTTATTGACAGTGCGTAGGCCCTGAGTTCAAGTCCCAGGACTGGCAAAAAAAAAAAAAAATAGATTCGAGTTCAAAGGAGAGAAAATAGAACTGTCTTTGTGGGGTTCTTTGTGTAGATGTATGTTTTAAAAGAAGCTATAACTGCTCTATTCTGGTTTCTGGCTAGAATATAAACAAGATATCACAATCCAGAAAAGCATGTTTTACCCTAAATATATAATGTCCATACTGAGCTACAAAGAACAAGGAACCAAAATCTCCTCTTCATAATGCTATATTTTAGATAATGAAGTGTATGCACTACTATCATGTCATGAAATGCTCCTTGAGCAAAAGTCTCCACTTTTAAGAAATGTCCTATCCCCTTATCTGATTTACTGTTTGTCAGACAGATTCTGTCAGCATCATGAGACACGCTGAGTTTTTGTCCTCTGTGGTCATAACTATTAAAATAATTAACACATGAAAACCTCTGTTGGTTGAAAATAAAAAAAGAATGCCTCACCATTTCTCTAGGATATTAGTAAATAACTATAAGGTAAGGGTCAAGTAAGTATTATATGAATAGGAGATTTTAGTTACATATCCAGATTATTATTCCCCACCAGTATGTATCACAATTTAAAAGGATCCCAGTTAATATATGAGTCATTAACTTGGACAACCAACAGTAAAAAAGAATTAAACCGCTCGTAATAGTCCTGCTGGATGAAACATTCTTAATGATGAAGACTAACAACATGTCACCTATTTAAATTAGATAAGCTAGATATTTTTCTTATAAAGTCAAGTAGAAAATTTTTAATAATTTAAAAGTAATGTGATACTGTCTATCTGGATCCAGCTTACTCTTTACCAAGTACAAAAATGAGTTAATAACTAAAAGTCTGAACAATCTTAAAATGGTAATTGAATTGTAAATAACTAATATACGCACAATCATCACACATGCTTTTTATTTTGGCAATGCCTGAATTTGAACTTGGGGCCTAGCACTTACTAGGCAAGCACTTTATCACCTGAGCCACACCTCAAGTCCCAATTAGCATATATTTTCTAAGCAAACCTAAACTCACATCTATCTATGTAAATTTTTAAAAATTTTCTGTAGAGTAGACTTAAATATGTATAACATCAAACCTTTACAAACTAAAATGTTCTATGTATTTATAAACTGATACATTAGTTATATATTATTTTACCAGCTCATTAAAAGCTGATGCTCTATGGTGCTTTATTTTTTAATATTTGTACAGTTAACTGAACTAATGAATCTAACCACAAATTACTAATGAATTAAGTAATAAATCTACTATTATTTAAAACAATTTTCTATGTATTCAATAACTGGGTCTTCCAATTAGGAACTCATTGCTCTACTGAATGAAGATTAAGTATAAACACCTCCCATAAGATGCCACAGAAATGGACAAATATACATAAAGAAAACCTTTATGAGCATTTGGTATCAGTGACTCCACATATTTACTATAACATAGTGAATAATCAAAATAGAAATGATGAAGTCTTCAGAATTTAGTAACTGTGCATAAATAACTATGGGAGATAGAACAACTAACTGAAAGAACAAAGAACAGACCTATGGGCAGTGAAGTTCAAGATACACAATCTGGATCCCACATTTGGCAAGTGAGATACTTACCAAAGATTTTATTCAATCATTCATTACCTGGGATTTTATCCCAAAAAGAAAATTGAACAAAGGTATCTCTTTAGCTATGATTATAACTATTATTAATAAACTATCAATCATGAAAACTGTAATCTAGATGTCAACTAATGAAATGTTGATATATTATTTTATGAAAATAATAGAAGATTACATATATGTAAGTTTTCACTGACACAGAATGAGCTCATACTATTGAAAGAAAAAAAGATTCTGAATAACACGTATCTGTGAATCTACATAAGGATAAAGCCGGAAATATTACCACCAAAATACAAGTGGTGGTTTTATCTAGGTACATTTTTTTATTTATTTTTTTGGGTCCAGTCATGGGGCCTGAACTCTGGGCCTGGGCACTGTCCCTCAGCTCTTCAGCTCAAGGCTAGCACTCTACCACTTGAGCCACCGTGCCACTTCCGGCTTTTCTCTTTTTGCTTATGTGGT